ACTTAAGTTGCGCAAACCGCAGGTGCGGCTCAGGTCGAGACAGGAATTCTTTACTTGCAGAGTGGTGAACGCGTGGAATGCGTTAGATGACGAAGTAGTGGCTGCCCCTTCTGTGACTATCTTTAAGAAGAAACTAGATGCTTTCATGGACAGGCAAAAAGGTGGGGGGCAATGTTGACGTTAGGTACTAGACAGTAAGCAACTAGGATAGTAAAAAAAAAATGCAAAAATATTTAGCTTTAGGCCTACCCTAAAATTAAGGAACGCTCGACCTCGACACGTGATATCGAAATGGGCGAAATCGCCTCCTAATGTCACTATCTTGACTCTTGACTGCTAAAAATTACACCATAGTTGAGTGTCAAGGATATTTTGATTCATCACTAATAAGAATGCAATGTGCCTAGAATAGAATTGTGTTACTAAAACTTTTTAAATGCCCCTCATACAGAATCTCTTCTGGTTTCTCCCATGTTCTCACAAATCTCCACATCCTAGGCATTAAGATCTGTTTTCTAATTTCCGTGACCTCTGAAAAATATTGATTTTGCTTCAGAAAAATATATGAACATAGTCATATTATATGTTGCAGGTGGACCATTGTCATCAAATACAATTGAACAAACCTGTTCATGGAGACATCTTGCGCATCCAGAAGAAAGTGCTATTTTTAAGCTTTCAGTGGGAATATGATAAGCAGACACTTCTCATGCGTTCTGTATGTGGAAAGATAAACATAGCTGTTAAACATTCTGAGAGTGAACAGGATACTCCAAGGAAGATGTGGTTATGATTTGGCGCTAATGTCAACCAGTCATGGCATTTTTTTGCCAGAATGATCATGATATACAAAGAAAGTATGTTGAAAGACTTCGAAAGGAGGAACCAAAGGGGAAGTTGCTTCAGCAAGATAGATGAGTGAGTTGTGCAGAATTCTCACCAAAGAAATTGGAGAACCGGAAAGCAACAGATGAAAGGAAGAACTCCATGAAAATGAAATGAGAGTAGTGAAAAGGCAACTTAGTGCATGATGAAAATGGAATACATGATGAAGCCAGTGGTGTATTCCCAGTCATCTTGTAAAATATATTGGGCTGCAGGACTCAAATGCTGCTGTCAGTAGGAGTCCATTTTATTTTTGAAGAGCTACCAACATCTTGAATATGTGGTAGTTGCCTGCCATCTTTATTATTTTTTAAAAGAAACTTCAGTATTTTCTGATTTCATGAATATTATTTGCATAAAAGCTCTGATTATTGACTGTCAACTATGTGATCATTCTTGCTTTTCAATTAGTTTCAAGGTTTGTATTTTAGAAATATGTATTTTTATTCACAACAAATTTTCTTTTATTGACTTCAATAACATCCCCTTTATAAAGGTCTATAATTGTAATGGTGACAAGTACATTCTAAGTGGAATCTGGCAGTGTGAAAAAATGTAAACATATGCATGATGTAAAAACATCATGTTATTAGCTGTGTGTCCTGTAGAGTAGACCTATTGTCTTATGTATGACCTCATACTGTACCAAGTATTGGGTCAATCGGAAAGCTCTGGCCGTTTCGAGAATTTTCCAGAAAAAAAATTTATGGAACTTTCTCGAGCCTTCCACAGTAGCAGTATATAAAGGGTGTGTGGGCGTGATTACACAGCATTTGCTTAGTCGTTCAAAGCCTATAACCATGACTTCCAAAATCGACTTTAACAAGATCGCCCAACGTCAGTGCCTTCTTTACGACTTCCTATCTGGCATCACAGCAGCTGAATCGAGTCGCCGCATCTGCGCCGCGTTTGGCCAAGGTGCGGTTTATGAAAGGACAGCGCGGCAATGGTTCGATCGTTTCCGGTCTGGAAATTACAGCCTTGAGGATGAGCCCAGGTCAGGCCGCCCATCTGAAATCGACGACGAGCAGTTGCAGCACACAGTGGAAGCCGATCCGAGGCAAAGTACCCGCGACTTAGCGACAGCACTTGGCTGCGCCCAGTCCACCATCGTGACGCACCTGGCTGCAATCGGCAAGAAGAGCAAGTTGGGTCGGTAGGTACCCCACGATCTGACCGACCGCGACCGCGAACGCCGTGCTGAAGTGTGCACTTCGCTGCTGTCGTACGAGCGCACAAACGACTGGCTGGATTCCGTAGTCACTGGAGACGAAAAGTGGATGCTGTACGTCAACTACCGACGCAGGCGCTGTGGGTTGATGCTGATGCCCAGCAAGAGCCGGAGCCGAAAGGTGACCTGCACCCCCGAAAAGTCATGTTGTGCATTTGGTGGGACGTGCAAGGCGTGATCGAATTCGAGCTGCTCCCACCCGATACCAGCATCACCGCCGCCTACTACTGCGATCGGCTGCAGAAGCTCGCCGACAAACTCCGCACGGTGAGGCCAGGGCACCGTCATGTTCGATTCCTGCACGACAACGCAAGGCCGCATGTCGCGAAGATCACACGGCAGAAACTGCTGGATCTGGGCTGGGAGGTTCTGCCTCACGTATAGCCCAGATCTGGCGCCAACCGACTCTTCCGCGCTCTGGACAACCATCTTCGCCAGAAAAGGTTCAACGATGACGCCGAGGTCGAAAACTGGCTGACTGATTTTTTCGACTCACAGCCAGTTCAGTTCTACAGGGATGGAATCAGGAGTCTGCCTGATCGTTGGCAGGAGGTGATTGACTGATGGCGATTACTTCTTTGAATGAACTTTTTTTGCTTTTTTAAAAAACC